TACAACCCGCCAAACAATAGCGCACTCGGTATCAACCTGTTCGCCGAAAGCTATGGCGGCAAGTACGCTCCCGCCTTTGCTGAGGTGTGGGAGGAGCAGAACGAGATGCGTCAAAACAGCAGCTTGGCAAACTCAACCCTGGACATTAACCTGGTATCTCTGGGCCTGATCAACGGCTGTGTCGATGACAAGATCGAGGGGGCCCACCTCGCTGCCATGGCCGTCAACAATACCTATGGCCTGCAGCTCATTTCGCCTGTCCGCGCCAAGATGGTCAACGGGTCGTTCTACGAACGAGGGGGCTGCGAGGACATGGTCACCCGGTGCCGTACACAAAGCTTCCTGCTCGACAACGGGTCCCACACAGCTGTCGGCGACATCGACGACCTCTGCAGACAGGCCATGGCCGCGTGCAACAATCTCCTCGACGCCTACTCCGAAACCGGGCGCAGCTTCTACGACATCGCCCACCAGACGCCCGAGTCCTTTCCGCCCAGCTACTACATAGAGTATCTCAACAAGCGCTCCGTCCAAGACGCCATCGGCTCCGTCGTCAACTACACCGACACCAGCAAGACCGTCTACAACGCCTTCCTGTCGACCGGCGACTGGGTGCGCAGCCCGATGGTCCCCAAGCTCGCGGCTCTGCTCGCGCGCGGTGTGCGCATCGGCCTAGTCTACGGCGACCGCGACTACATCTGCAACTGGATGGGCGGTGAAGCCGTCTCCCTGTCCATCGCCTCCACCCTCGGCGGCGTCTACGGGACCTCGTTCCCGGCTGCGGGCTACGCGCCCATCATCGTCAACAACAGCTACATCGGCGGCGTCGTGCGGCAGTTCGGCAACCTCTCGTTCTCGCGCATCTACCAAGCCGGCCACTTCGTGCCGGCCTACCAGCCCGAGACGGCCTTTCAGGTCTTCGCGCGCATTATCACGGGCACCTCGCTCAGCACGGGCGCCATCGTCAACCTGACGAGCTACAACACCACGGGGCCCGCCAACGCCACCGCCTCCTTCAGCCTGCCGTCGAGTCCCACGGCGACGTGCTACGTCCGCGCCCTCGACAGCTCGTGTCCCCAGGACACGGTCCAGAGCATACTCAACGGCAAGGGCGTCGTTATCAACGGCGCGTGGTATCCCGCGTCGAGCGACTGGCCCGGCGCCACCATGACGAATTCCAACTCGGGTGGGACACCACCGAGTCCGACGAGCACCCCGACTCTGACGGGACTCTTTACCGCGACGGCGACACCCCAGACCGATGATGCTTTGCGTCTATCAGCTCCAACAATTCAGTTGGCAGCGTTGATAGGGAGCTTTTATGTGGCGGAAATCTTTGGTGTGATTTAACGGCGGCTGGCATTTATTTGGGAGTTGGGAAGGGTTTAAAAACAACGGGGATTAATTACGTACGACAAGACACTGCATTCGAATTGACGAGGAAACGACAAATTGGCACAAATATAAAAGTAGAACTGCAAACTCAAGTAATGGATAATGTGTCTTTAATTAGATACCCTGAGCACAAGGCTTCGGAGCAATGATCAAACTTCTTTTCACTTCCTACGCACCATATGGTGACGTAGTTCGATTACAGCTCTGGGATCCCAAGGGCAGAGTAGACTACGACACATCACGGTGGACAATGTTCTTGTCAAGATTACGTGTACAAAGCTTACCTTGGGACGCGGCGAACTACTTTCTGTCGCTGAACCTGCGATACTTAGCAATGTTAGCCTATGGTTGTCCACGCTCGTGGAGAGTGCACAAGTTGAGGGGTTTGACTTTGTCAGATAGGTGCCTGGTCAAAGGCAAGTATCATCAAAGCGTAAAGCTATGGAGACCGTCGTGATAAATTGTAATCATCATCAAAGTCGAGGGGAGGGAGGAAGAAAACGGGATGGCGCTTACTGTTGTCATACAAATAATTGGCGCAACGATTTGGGATGCGAATCCAACTGAGGGGACCTGCGAGAGTTAACATTGCTTTCTTGCCACGAAACGCACAAAATTGTGATGCGAGAGAAATCAGAGATGACTGTGTCTTCTTCGCCGGAGCTCTGACATATGCTTGTCTTTAATTGTCAAATCATCATGTTATGTTGTGTGGGGGGGAAAGAAGAAAAGCTTCAGCACATACCATCCAACGAGAGTTTGTTGCAAGGCCGTGCCAAACCATCCAGACAGAAACCTAAAACTTAAAAAATCAGTCCAAGTTCGCTGAAATGGTATTCAGACAAAGTGCGTGTGTTTGGGGTGTCAGATAGGCATGAATGGTAGTAAAATAGGTTGTCTGCATCGGGAATCCCGGATAAGACTCGTCATCTTGTAATCATCATAAGGTGCTTTGTGCATTCGTTGTTTTGGTGCTACTTACTGCTATGGAGGTTGACGACGGATTGATGCGTGTCAGATTGATGGTCTGCGAAAACGACTTTGCAAGGGTTAGCCCAATGACCACAAAATGCGATGGTGCAGAGAGATGATGGATGCTAAATCAGTGGACGAGGTTTTCTAGGCCTGTCACAGAATGGCATATCTGCTCATAATAAAATCGGAGCCCAGTGCCATTTCATCAGGGAAGCGCGAGGGAGTTGAAGAGGGAAAGACTTACCAGAGAAACAGCAACACCATACCGGCTGGGACATCGGGAATCTAGAAGTCTGAATGGCGAGTCAGCATGTGAATACAACTCTTGTTTGGGAATGCGAAAGGTAAGGGATGGGGATAATCAGAAACAGCCATTGTTGTCTTCAGTATATATCAGTCGGTAATTCCAACTTGCCGAAGCAAAAATTGAATCATCACATTGTGTTGTTGTTGCTAGACGTATAAAAAAATCGAGCAAACTGACCTCCAGATTTCGATATCCCGAACCCGGGCAATGCCACAAGGCCGGGAGCCACCACTTTTCAACACCCCACCGCACTCCCTGTGTTCTGCGCCATCCTCCAATCGAAAGAGGACGGGTACCGGCAAGCAATCTAGAGACTTGTAGGCACGTTAGCTTGTGTTCAAAACTAAAAGGTTGGAAAGTGCAAGATAATTGGCAGCGCTGTCATGTTCAGACTGACGTTACAATTCAGTTTCATATCAATAAAGATCAAAGACTCTAGTTTGCGGTTTGTGTGGTGTCATCAGGCTAGCTGCCTGTTCGGGAGGGGGAGGGAGAGGAGATGTCTTACCAGAGGGAGTTGCTGACTGTGATGGTTGATGGCGAGAGAGGAAAATTGGAGAAGGAAAAAAAATCGAGACGAGGTTTTGAAGCTGTAGAAATGTGGGGCGGGCGAAAACTCCACTTGACCTCTGCCCAGCCGAGCATGACACCAGCATTATCACGTGCAGACGCCTCAGTCTCGCGTTTGGCAGGATTTCGACACCGCTCACCAACAAACCACAGTGACGCGCCCTCCCCACATCCGTTGCGTTGCTGCTTTTTTCCCCTTTGCGACAACCATTTAGCCACTGGCAATTTGCATCACTCACCATGCCTGAGATTGCTGAGAGTGCGTATAATCAGAGAGGGTATATCATAATGTGGGATATTGGCTGACGCGACGCGCAGTTGCTCGAATCGTGCATTTTTTGCGCATCCACCTGGTGGGGAAAACCGTCAAGACTGCCTCAGCCATTGACGATGCCAATGTCTTTGGCAAGGTTGGAACCACAGGCTCTGAGGTCACTGCAGCCTTGAGTGGTAAAAAGGTTGTCTCGGCCGGGAACCAAGGGAAATATTTCTGGTTTGAGTTCCAGTGTGATGCCCAACAGAAACCCGGACTGACACTGCCCAGGATTGTGCTCAGTAAACCTCCACATCTGGTTATGCATTTTGGCATGACTGGTATGTCTTGACTCTGTCATCGTATGATGTGCTATCTGACTTGCCCCTCTAGGCTGGATCCATATTAAAGGCGAACGCACAGCGTACACCAACTACTACAATAAGATGAAGGCGGACGAGGCGGACGCCTGGCCCCCAAAGTATTGGAAGTTTCAGCTCAAGACCGATGATGCAGTTGAACTTGCATTCACCGACCCTCGACGCTTTGGCCGTGTTCGCCTCGTCAACTGCGATGGGAAAAGCATTAGACAAAACACACCACTGGTGGAGAACGGACCGGACCCCGTCGTCGATACTGATGTTTTCACCGAGGCCTTTCTGAGTCAGAAGATGCGGTCACGACATGTGCCAATCAAGGCCCTCCTCCTTGACCAGGCTGCCATCAGCGGCATTGGCAACTGGGTTGGCGATGAGGTTCTCTATCAAGCAAAGCTTCATCCGGAACAATACTGCAATGAGTTCAGCGATGAGCAGATCACGAAGCTTTACGGAGCAATCCGATACGTCTGCCAATTGGCGGTTGACAAACTGGGGGACTCTGATCAGTTTCCAAAAGACTGGATCTTTCATTATCGCTGGGGAAAGGGCACTAAGGGGCCCGGGCATCTCCCAAGCGGTGAGAAGCTAGCCTTTCTGACTGTGGGAGGTAGAACTAGTTGCTATGCACCGGATCTCCAGAAAAAGACCGGAGGCGTTGTGCCAGGAGTGAAAGAGGAGCTCGCTGAGTCTGACGAGGAGGGGCCGAAACCGAAGAAGTCATCCAAGTCGAAGACAGTGGCAAAAAAGGCCGAAAGCAAAGCAGAGCCCGAGGTGAAGCAACCCCGGAAGAGAAAAGTCAAGGCAGAGGACTCGGAAGACGAAAAGTCTGTGAAGAAGGGCAAAGTCGTGCAGGCCAAGTCGCAGGCCAAGTCTTCTGCGCGTACCAACGGAACTGGGGCTGATGTAAATATTGCCCAAGACGCGGAAGAGGAGGGCGGGAGGCGGCGTTCGGGAAGGCTACGGACGAAGCCGACATAGTCCTCAGCACGGCATCGAATTGCCTTGGTTTCGAGCCTTGATTCGATCTCCACCACCATGAGACCCCATCCATGTTGCTCCCCACAACTCCACCACACCATGGAGCCTAAATGCCTACTTACATACGTTGTCCCTCATTACTGGTCGCATGGTGTAGTTGGTTATCACGTCAGCTTAACAAGAGTCGTCGTCAATTGACGAGTTTATTAGTTCCGCTGAAGGTCCTCAGTTCAATCCTGAGTGCGATCATACTTTTGTCTCCCACACAACACAGTTCCTTTTTTTCTCCAGCGCAACTAGACAGTCAAAATGAGCTAGAAATCCCTTGAGGATAATTAGGGTGTGACGGCCTACGGTTCCGGTCCTCGATATCCTCTGCCTGAATCATTGATGCAAGCAAGGTATAATAAACCATTCGCATCGAGTCTCTTGGTGTTTTGCTACCAGGGCTCCCATGGGCAATCACGGCGAGTAGGGCACGTTTCTCAAGACTAGCCAACGTGTTCATATAGAGATCACCAGCAATCTACAATGCCAGCGCCAAGGCAACTTGGCTACCTGCGAAATCACGGCTTGCATAGCATCCGCACCCCCCCCCCCCCCCCCCCCCCCTTCCCCAATACCACCTTCAAGGCTCCGACTCCACATCAGGCGGAAACGTGCCGAAGAGGGACATCAAATGCTGGGTGTCGCTCGGGGCAAGTTGGGTACCCTCTGCTGTTGCTTTGGAGAGCATTCGAAAGTCTACGTATTTTAATCAGCAACATGCGCCTCGATGTTCCTGCCAGACGAGAAGATAGGTAGTAACTCACAGTCCACATAGTGTCCTGCACCGGCACAAGGGCGAGTCAGCATCACAATGTCATCAGACACAACGCGTTTCAGGGGCTTACCAGGCGTCGCCGTCATATAACACTCGCAGTCCTCCGTCTCGGAAGGGTTTTTAAAGGTATGGATGGCTCTCGGAGGTACGGTCATAAGGTCTCCCGCTTTTGCATCAACGTGGCCATCCGGAGTCACGAATCGTAAGGTTCCTATCCCGGGGGTTAGCATCACGAATGGCTATTCTGGGAATCAATTACCCTTGGTGACGAGGAAGAGCTCATCGTGGAAGCGATGCCAGTGCATTGGAGGGCCGGATTTTCCGGCTGGGACTTCGAGAAGCACGCCACTGACACGGTTCTCAGTCAGGGAGCCGTCCTCGTAGACGCGGATGGTCATGGGGCCGACATGGAGGATCTCGGCCTCCTCCTTCTTGTACAGCTTCACCGGAACTGGGCCGCGTTGGGGCATTTTGGGAGATGGGTTCAAAGGCTAAAAGTTGATTTGGTCAGCTTGGAGATCTGATCAATGCATCGATCGGCCAGGGCTGCTGCTGGCGCTGAGGTCAACCAGGGACCGGGTGGGTCTCTTATAGCGGAGGTCCGGCAGCGGCTGCCCGACCGCCGCCTCCCACGTGCCGGACGTATGATTTGTGGTGCGGGGATTGCGGGACACATTCTTGGGGCATCGCGCCTCGCTGCACAGCTCGCTGCTTATGCTCCCGACCTTAACACCGATGTTTTTTGCCAGCGGGGGCCGATGAGGGGACGGCGACCTTGCCATTTCGGAACCCGCGCGGCTCCTTCACTCCCGGCCCGCCCGCTTCGGCTCGACCGGAACACCGGGACATGTTGCCATTCGCCAATCCCCAATCTCACCATCGAATCCCCGCGGCTGACTCCATGAGCCACGAGCCATGAGTTCATGAACAGCACACCCAACAAAAACATCAGATCACCGCAGGTCAGGCCGTGGCGGCCTCGTTCCGTCAACCCCTTGGCGCATATCGTGCCGCAACTGGCGGACACTAACGTGGGCAACACGGCTTTGGGGGGGGTTCTTGCCAGCAACCGTGGTAGCGAGAGAGCTGAAATCTGGGGCTGGAGCGCCATTGCCTCACAGAAACCGCTCCCCAAATTCCGCCCTTTGCCCTCGGCCCTTTCTCCCTATTTAGCGATTTGCACAATATCTATCGCATCTATCAAGTCTGGCACCGGAGGCGTCTGGCGCCGACGAGCGCTGACGAGGTTGTCGTCCCCTCGAATTGTCACGTGGGGTCCTTCCCGAGGGATGGGTTCATGGTTCCTGGTCTGCGCATGTGTTTCGTTTCAACGGCGTACCACCAGAGAAGGCCTGGCCATTGCCAGACTGCCGTTCCGCAGCACAAGTGCCGGACTGGCCAGCCGGCCCTGAACCGAGCCATGTTTACAGATCTGCCAAAATTATGCCGAGTACATGGCCTGTCTGCCCATGACCGACCTCACACTTGTCGCGCCCATATGACGATGGTGGAGGAATTATAGAATCCAGGGCCGGCTGTCGCTGGTGGGAATTTTGGTCCTCGCGCGCTCTGGGCCATGTTCTGCTTCTTAATTAGTCGACATATTGACCCTCCAAGGCCTCAGTACTGGCTAAAGCAGTCTTGTCTGGCTAATATATCTCCAACAGGCAATTTTTCAGCCTCTCGGCTCCGATTCGTCCGCTCGATTTCCCCAGGCTATGGGAAGCTCCTGTTGAGAAGTGGATTAAGGCAATTCAGCATCCCGGTCGCTCCCCTCACGCAGTTAATATCGCTGGCACGGTGCAACGCCCCGGATCACATCTGACATGGCCCTGACATTATACCCGCCCTCGGCGACCGGACGAGGCCGTTTTGGAGATCCCCTCACGAGGACACGAGGAGCAGAGTTCCTGGCGGGAAAAAAAAATGCCGTGGGTTCGACAGCCCTATACGACCTCCGCACCAGATCCAGATGATCTAGATGGCTTCTATATGCCAATCTGGCACGACGCGATCTTGTCCTACGCGATCAGGGCAGCACTCGCCATCCCCCACCCTCGCACGTTGGGGTATTTCTCCTCACGGCCTGCCCAGTCCTTTGAGGCTCTCAGCAAGCTTTCTTTCTCCAACTGTCGAGCGTGGGGAACTGGAGCCTCATCTCACATGTGCACCACCCATCACCATCTCGAGCTTCAGAAGAATACCATGGACATCGGGCCATCCATTCCTTTATCAACCCCTTCAGCTAAACGACATGTTTAGCCGCCGCCCTCTGAACGGCTTGTCCTTGCCGCCTCCAGGTCGAATTGGCGAGGACGGTGTGGATCCTGTGGCCCGCTGATACACAGCATCTCGAAGCATTCCACCGCCCGCATTGACACACATGGTACGGCCTGAGAGACAAAGGTCCACTTCTGAACCGCGTTGCTGCACAACTCCGACTCTCGCCCGCCCAGGGCTCCTCCCACCAGAGGCCAGAGGCCCCCGATGACACGGCGAGCCCCCGCTACCAACCTTGTTGACTTTGCTTCCCCACACGACAACCTTCGGCCCTTCCTTACCGTGGCAAGAGGCGCCGCCATAGCGTCCTCTTGGCAGCGCAGAGTCTTTCGTTGCAATCTAGGGGGAGGATCGATTGAGGTACCCCAGATTGGTCGACCATTCAGATTGGCATCTGGTCTGAAAGGGGGGCTTTTACCCCAGGCCCACAGCTCGGTGCCGTCCTCTGGTGGTCTGGTGGTCTGCCTCTGCTTATCGCCAGACCGTTTCTCGCCGCCTGCCGGAGCCGACAGTCAAGACGGCCCAACCGAGCGGAGAACCATACCCGCAGCTCCTCCAAGATAGACGCGCCGGAGGGTTCGTCCGGCACCTCCTGTTCCTGTGGCGCATTTGGTGCTGGGCGGTCATCGCTGGGCATGCGCGAAGCCGGCTGTTTCTCAGCTTGGGAGCCCGGGGAAGAGCTCAGGCTGGGGAGTCTCCCCGCCATGAGGCACCCTCGCCTCCCGTTGATCACCCCGTATTCTAGTTCCTCTCTTGGAACAGGGCGGCAAGCAGGCGCAAACCGCTGCGGCTGCTTTCTGTGGGATTAGATTGCAACCGGGGCCGGGTATGCGAAATCCAGGCTGTTGAACCCCATATCACTTCATTTACTGACAGGACTCTCGCCCTACCCCAGTCTTCTATGAGGGAATATGTCGGCGGCTTTCAGGCCCATGTTACCGACGAGATCTGAGTTGTCGGGATGGCAGGCCAAGGTCGCTCTGGGGCCGAGCTCCCCCTTTCGGACCTGACGCTGTCGAGGCCCAGTCCAAGCCGGCGAAACGACGAGGGAGGATCAATGTCCTATAAAGCCCTATCGCCATCCCTCCCCTGGATTGATCTGGATCGTCCCTCACCGTCATCCCACCCAAACACCGCCAAGAGCCCCTTCTCCAGGTACAATCTGCCCAAGATGATCGCCAAGTTCGCCGCCCTCGCGGCCCTCCTCGGCGTGGCCACGGCCCAGCAAGTCGGCACCCAGACTACCGAGACTCACCCCAAGATGACCTGGCAGAAGTGCACGGCCGGCGGGTCCTGCTCAAACGTCAATGGAGAGGTCACCATTGACGCCAACTGGCGCTGGGTCCACGACAAGGCCGGTTACAGCAACTGCTATAACGGTAACTCGTGGAACGCGACCATCTGCAAGGACTCCAAGAGCTGCTCGACAAACTGCGCCGTCGATGGTGCCGACTACAAGGGTACCTACGGCGCTTCGACCAGCGGCAACGCCCTGACCCTCAACTTCATCACCAAGGGCGAATACTGTAAGACATAGCCCCCATTGGGCCGAGTGGGCGAAGGCGTGTTGTGGCGCGGGACATGCTGACACAATCGGACCATAGCCACCAACATTGGTTCGCGCTTCTACCTCATGGCCAGCGCCGCCAAGTACCAGATGTTCACTCTTCTTGGTAACGAGTTCACCTTCGATGTTGACGTGTCCAAGCTCGGGTAGGTGCCTCTGCTTAATGTGTTGTACCCCTTTTCAGCAACAGCAGGTGCTGACCATGCGAAAAGATGCGGTCTCAATGGCGCCCTGTACTTCGTCTCCATGGACGAGGATGGTGGCCTGTCCAAGTACTCGACCAACAAGGCCGGCGCCAAGTACGGCACTGGATACTGCGATGCGCAGTGCCCGCGTGATCTGAAGTTCATCAACGGCGAGGCCAACGTGGAGGGCTGGAACGAGTCCAGCAACGACGAGAATGCCGGTGTCGGCAACTACGGCTCTTGCTGCACCGAGATGGATATCTGGTACGTACAAATGCGATGTCGCTTGAGAGTTCCCAACTAACCTTCATCACAGGGAGGCCAACTCCATCTCCACCGCCTACACACCCCACCCTTGCTCGACGGTTGGCCAGCACCGTTGCAAGGGTGATGA